TTTGCATTGTTAAGCTCGGTTAGTATGTATAATAGCCAGTAGGGGAGTTTAAAAGGTGTCAGGATGGTGTATTATGAAGAGGTAATAGGGGGAGGGGTTACCTCAGGGCTTCTCCCGGAAAAAAGCGGGAAAAATTGCATGCCCGCCAAAACCTTCTCAATGAATGAAATATTTGTTTGCCGCAAACTTACTCTTGTTTTCTTGAAGCATATTGCGAATATACTATATAGAAAGCCCCTAATTATGCTCTGCATAATTAGGGGCTTTCTATATAGTAGTGTGTCACTGATGTCAGTTATGGTCTGTATAAGTTGTACTTGTAGAAACAAAGATTATGATTATTATTATTTAATGTGTCGATGTTTCTATGTGTTTCATTTTCCTGGTCTTCAGAGTTGTGAATCCAGGGGGGGTATTTTGGTGCACCGGGTGTGGAGCGCCAGACCCCCAGGGCTTAAATATCGTGTTTCACCTAACCACGCGCTCACCCCATCCAGTAAGTTTATTTAGGTACAGGTACACATAAGTACAATTATCATAACTAGTTATATACGTGTAAATTATATAGGAAAACCCAAAAGAGTCAGAGTGACTAATTTCCATTGTGATGGTTGACTATTGAGCACATTAAATAGCGCTTAACATTTGCTAGTAGACGCCATTATTCATAATGCCACGAATAAAATCAACATTTAGTATGTCGTGTGCTAAATGTATGGAAAAATCAGGGTGCCATTATTGCCCACAGGATGGGCATGGGGTTCATAATTAACATTAAACTAATGGAGAAGGAGGAGAAGATTCTAAATAAAGGATAAGTGTGAGGGAAAGTTTCTCTAATATAATTTTCATCTTTTACGATAGTTTTATATGGCAGTTATGTAGGTTGACTCACGGGCACTAGTGGAAATAAGTCATTTTGTCTGACTTGGGTTATCCTCGACAATTTACACATATGTTACTATGTATGATAATTTGTATTACTGTATTTATGTGTTCCTGTACCTAAATAAACTTAGGATAAACGAATAAAATCATTGTGACATTTCTGTTTAAGACTCTTGTGTTATATACTCGTCATAGTAAAAAATAAACTTATATAACAATTACTAAGTGTAGGATTGAACATATATACGCATCATAGTAAAAAATAAACTTATATAACAATACATGTTCAATCCTACCCTTAGTAATTTTAGAAGTAAATCAACATAAGATGGTGGAAATGATGAGGGAATAGTGGGAGGGAGGCAATGAGAGAAAATTGTAAGATAGGGATGGAGAGGTAGGAATGAGAGAGAAAAGCGGGAAGGAGAAAAGATATTAAGACAAGGTGTTAGAGAGTGTGAGGGAAAGGTGGGGGGGGGGAGAAAGAGGCGGGGGGATAAGAGGGAGAGAAAGGTAAGAGCGGCAACGGAAGAGGGGGTACCGGTTGAGAAGAGGGAGGGTATTGCGATAGTGGGGGATTAGTGGGATGGAGAGAGTGTGGCGTTGTGGGGGATGGGGAGTGCGCGCCAAGGTGTTATGAGACGCCGCGAGGGCCCCTCTCTAGCCTTCCTTCATAGAACCCTCTCCTCCATCCTCATCCCCTTCCACATTTCTAGCAAACATAGCTATAAGTATCCATCAATCTTTGTGTGAACTACCATTCAGAATCAAGGGAGAATCTTCCTTTAAGTGGTTAAACTGCATCGAGGATGGCATGGTCAACTCTATAAGCTCGTGCTCAAAAAACAATATATTTATTTGTATATAACTATCGGAATTCATTTTCGCTTGTGTATTATGCGGCCTACTTGCTCCTGGGAAGTGTATTTGGTGCTGTCAGTAATTTTGTTTATATTTCTGCCTCGTATAGAAATATAATTAATCAATTATTGTCTGGCAGACCCTCGTGGCGCTTGCCATCTGTGTATATAAATTATAACATATAATGAAGATGTAAAAGACAATATTATTTCTAATATAAATTTATTAGAAGCATGTAGGCATTAGGGATAAGGTTTATATAAATGAACTTCAACTGGGTGTCGCAGATGGGCCGGCAGCTCCCTGGCGCGCCTGGCCAGTGTTTATGTATTGATCAGCTGGTTCTGGCGCTGGTAAATTCATATTTGGCGCGCTAAACGTCACACCGATTAGCCAATCGCGAGCCGGCAGCGTTGTCTCAAATTCCAATAGTCGCAAGGGTCATTGTGCTCTGGCGCTCGGAATATCCCTTATATCTTTGACGCCACAACTTAATTTCAAACCCGGTAAGACCATATAGACTGCTGAAATTATTACGAAAAGATGTATATATTTTGCCAAGCAGTTTATATTGACACGAGAAAATAAAATCCAATGTTTACATTCGAAACTTTTATAAGAGTTTACTTGGCATGTTGAAAGAAAAAGCACCAATCAGCGGGCGAGTTGGGCCTGACTCCGCCCAGCTGATTTTGGCGGCCAGCCTGCCAGCCCGCGCACACTGATCAACATCCGCGGGTCTCTTGACCATGGTGGCCGACCTCTGAGTTTGTGAAGCTATAACATCAAGGTAAACTGGGATTTTACTCTTCTGGCGTGGTTATGTGATGGAGTGATTTGTTATCAAGGTGTATCCGTGACAGATTTGTGGATACACGAGCCAGGAAGCTCGAGTTACGGAGGTAAGTCAGTGATGCTCAGGATTATCCCGGGATACCTAACCCGGGTAGACAAGCAGGGCGATTTGCGCTCCTTAATTTAACGATATTTAGCACTTATTTCACATGTAATATTCGGTAGTTCTACTGGGGGATGTACATTCTTCACTTGAATTCATTGCAGTTGTGTTCACTTGCAAAAATCTTCTCCAGAGAAGCAGAAATGTGAGTTTATTTAACCCAGGACCCCGAAGGCCACAAAGGATAATGGGTCTGATTTTGTAGGCTTTGGAGCGGCACTAGTCGCTTATTACCACCTAAGATCTCAGTGTCAGGTTAGAGAATAGGTACCAGTGTGCTCGTGGAGGCGAGAGAAGGAGAGTTAAATAATGAAGAAAAATGGTGGATGGGAGGAGAAGCAGGAGGGGGGTGAGGTGGGTTGGCGGGCAAACTTGGCCGCCCAGGACACCTGGAAACCACTTTACAATATATCATCTGGACACAGTTCCTGACCCATTTGATGGACTCTGCGCTTCTCTGGCTTCCACAATGTCTTCTCCCGCCAGACAACTCGGTAAATACATATATGGCAAGAGTTGTGGTGTGTGGGATGGTGAGATACATGACTGACGTAATGGTAGGATCTTCTTGACTGGCGCGGGAAAGATTTTTTTATTTGCTCGTATCTTTAAAAGAAAAGAAAGATATTTTCTTGCATTACAGTGCCAAGACACTGTCATTTGTGTGTGTCGAAATTCTAGTGTGACCTGAAAGTTACCTTGAAAACTATCCTTGGTAAAGCCATCTGTTGCTATTTTACGATGTATATGGAAATATTTTAATAATGCAAATGAATATTAAGTACATATTGTTTTACAGACAGCACTTCATGGACATTAAGTACAATAAGCACATAATTGATGCAGCCATACATTAGTGGTAAATTATGGAGATTTAACCCAAGATAACCCAACATAGTTAGTGTGATATTTCCACTTTTATTGATTGGAACCTAATTAAACATATTTATGTATATCTTGATGTTCAGGATTTCTGTTTGAGGCTTAAGTTAGATTTACTAAGTGGAATCAAATGCAGATTAGCTAGTTAACTTGACTACCAATAGATGATGTATGGGTAGCATATGGCTATTATATTCAGTAGTCATATTTTCCTGGAGTTATGAAAGAAGCCCAGTATTAAAGGATTTGACTCGCAACCAAAGGATTCATAGTTCAGTTCTGGGCGTGTGTCATTTCTGGTACGTATGGCTGAATCTCCTGACACCTGCTGACCTTGTTCACCTAGCAATAAATAGGAACCTGGTTGTTAATCATCTTTTATGGGCTGCATTCTGGGAAAGAGGACCAAAGGACCACAATGGAAATAAACCACACTGATTGGCTCACATGGTTTATCCTGTGTTACTAACTCTCAAGTGTTAATCCTTCTTTATAAATTATATGGCAATTATCAAAATGAAACTTAAGTTATAGATACAGATGAATTGCTTAAAGTTCAGGGTAAGAATTAGAGGAATCTACAGTAAATTTGATGATAATTTTGGTTGAAATAGGGAAGTAAGATGATCAGAAGGAAAGAGGGTGATTCCTTTTACATACTTGTAAGCTGCGATGGCCAACATTTTCATGCTAAAGGTGGTGCATAGATAGATGAATAGCGATGTTATTTTTTTCCCCAGGCCCTGTACGCATCACCAGACCTTCACCACTGATCATCACTCACAGCCTCATGTCTCAGAACCAAAGAAGGTATGAGCTCTATTAACCTAATAGTCTTTAACTTGCTAACTGCAATTGAGTTGGCAGTGATTTCTATCACTATCTTTGCAGGTTAAGAAAGTTCTTTAGCTCATTTTGCATCCTAACTAACCTAATGACTGGAATTCATTTTTTTTACTTGGATAGAGTTTGGCAAAAGCAGCAATGAGGCCCAGTCCCTTTAGCCATTATGTGCCTTTGTAATCTTTTGACTTCCACCTACAGGATGGGTATGCAGTGCATAGTAAAACTACTAAACTATTTTACACCAGAAAGTGCATGCTTGGGGTTTTTACTACCAGTTACTGTAATTAATGTATGGTATTACACTAGTGGAGATAAATGATATAATGCAGCATAATACAATCTTTTATCGACTACATTATGCCCATGTAGTCAATAAAGAATCACATACGGCATTTGTTTCTGTTTTTTCTTTACACTAGTGTTATTGGAGCAAGTTTGACGAGTAGAGCAGTGTTGTTAGAATGTTCCAACTATTGCTTTAGTGGTATTTTTTTTTTTTTTTTCAAAATTTTACTTAATCTTTGAGATTGATCACCATAAATGGACAACCTCAGTGATACAGTATTTATTACATGCACTGAGTATTCCAGTTTAGTAAGAATTTCTGCAAAAGTTGGAATGAGACAATTTCTAACTTTCAGACTGAAAAATGGTTCACTGTCAACTAGAACTAAGCCAGCCATTCTGAGAACCAGGAAGAGAAGGAGCTCAGAAAACGATGAAGACGAACGACATGTAAAACAGGCACGTGTGGAACCTACAGAGATGGTACGTCAAGACTCCAGTGATTGTGGTTCTTGTTTGTCAATCTGTCTGATTCTGTTTCTCTCATCATTTCTTTCTTTTTTTCCTCTATTTTTTTTTCTTATTTTTCTCATTTTATTTTCTCTTTTTCTTTCTTTCTCATGTTCTTTCTCTTTATTATTTTTCTTTCTTTTTTCTCCCTCTCTCTTTTCCTTTAATTCTTGTGTGTGTGTACTCACCTAGTTGAGGTTGCAGGGGTCGAGTCCAAGCTCCTGGCCCCGCCTCTTCACTGGTCGCTACTAGGTCACTCTCCCTGAACCGTGAGCTTTATCGTACCTCTGCTTAAAGCTATGTATGGATCCTGCCTCCACTACATCGCTTCCCAAACTATTCCACTTCCTGACTACTCTGTGGCTGAAGAAATACTTCCTAACATCCCTTTGATTCATCTGTGTCTTCAGCTTCCAACTGTGTCCTCGTGTTGCTGTGTCCAGTCTCTGGAACATCCTGTCTTTGTCCACCTTGTCAATTCCTCTCAGTATTTTGTAAGTCGTTATCATGTCCCCCCTATCTCTCCTGTCCTCCAGTGTCGTCAGGTTGATTTCCCTTAACCTCTCCTCATAGGACATACCTCTTAACTCTGGGACCAGTCTTGTTGCAAACCTTTGCACTTTCTCTAGTTTCTTTACATGCTTGGCTAGGTGTGGGTTCCAAACTGGTGCCGCATACTCCAATATGGGCCTAACGTACACGGTGTACAGGGTCCTGAACGATTCCTTATTAAGATGTCGGAATGCTGTTCTGAGGTTTGCCAGTCGCCCATATGCTGCAGCAGTTATTTGGTTGATGTGCGCTTCAGGAGATGTGCCTGGTGTTATACTCACCCCAAGATCTTTTTCCTTGAGTGATGTTTGTAGTCTCTGGCCCCCTAGACTGTACTCCGTCTGCGGTCTTCTTTGCCCTTCCCCAATCCTCATGACTTTGCACTTGGTGGGATTGAACTCCAGGAGCCAATTGCTGGACCAGGTCTGCAGCCTATCCAGATCCCTTTGTAGTTCTGCCTGGTCTTCGATCGACTGAACTCTTCTCATCAACTTCACGTCATCTGCAAACAGGGACACCTCGGAGTTTATTTCTTCCGTCATGTCGTTCACAAATACCAGAAACAGCACTGGTCCTAGGACTGACCCCTGTGGGACCCCGCTGGTCACAGGTGCCCACTCTGACACCTCGCCACGTACCATTACTCGCTGCTGTCTTCCTGACAAGTATTCCCTGATCCATTGCAGTGCCTTCCTGTTATCCCTGCTTGGTCCTCCAGTTTTTGCACTAATCTCTTGTGTGGTACTGTGTCAAACGCCTTCTTGCAGTCCAAGAAAATGCAATCCACCCACCCCTCTCTCTCTTGTCTTACTGCTGTCACCATGTCATAGAACTCCAGTAGGTTTGTGACACAGGATTTCCTGTCTCTGAAACCATGTTGTCTGCTGGTGATGAGATCATTCCTTTCTAGATGTTCCACCATTCTTCTCCTGACAATCTTTTCCATGATTTTGCATGCTATACATGTCAGAGACACTGGTCTGTAGTTTAGTGCTTCATGTCTGTCTCCTTTTTTAAAGATTGGGACCACATTTGCTGTCTTCCATGCCTCAGGCAATCTCCCTGTTTCGATAGATGTATTGAATATTGTTGTTAGGGGTACACATAGCGCCTCTGCTCCCTCTCTCAGGACCCATGGAGAGATGTTATCTGGCCCCATTGCCTTTGAAGTATCTAGCTCACTCAGAAGCCTCTTCACTTCTTCCTCGGTTGTGTGTACTGTGTCCAGCACATGGTGTAACCCACCTCTCCGTCTTTCTGGAGCCCCTTCTGTCTCCTCTGTGAACACTTCTTTGAATCTCTTGTTGAGTTCCTCACATACTTCACGGTCATTTCTGGTTGTCTCTCCTCCCCCCTTCCTTAGCCTGTGTGTGTGGGTGTGGGTGGTATGTACACTCACCTGGTTGTGGTTGCAGGGGTTGAGTCACAGCTCCTGGTCCCTGTGTGTGTGTGTGTGTGTGTGCTTACCTAATTGTTGCAGGGGTCGAGACTCAGCTCCTGGCCCTGCCTCTTCACTGAGTGCTACTAGGTCCTCTCTCTCCCTGCTCCATGAGCTTTATCATACCTCATCTTAAAGCTATGTATGGTTCCTGCCTCCTACCTCACTTGCTAAGCTATTCCACTTCCTGACTATGACTGAAGAAATACTTCCTAACATCCCTTTGACTCATCTGGGTCTTCAACTTCAAATTGTGACCCCTTGTTTCTGTGTGTGTGTGTGTGTGTGTGTGTGTGTGTGTGTGTGTGTGTGTGTGTGTGTGTGTGTACTCACCTAATTGTGATAGCAGGGGTCGAGACTCAGCTCCTGGCCCCGCCTCTTCACTGATTGCTACTAGGTCCTCTCCCTCTCTGCTTCCTGAGCTTTGTCATACCTCTTCTTAAAACTATGTATGGTTCCTAACTCCACTACTTCACTTGCTAGGCTATTCCACTTCCTGACGACTCTATGACTGAAGAAATACTTCCTAACGTCTCTGTGACTCATCTGAGTCTTCAGCTTCCAGTTGTGACCCCTTGTTTCTGTGTCCCCTCTCTGGAACATCCTATCTGTCCACCTTGTCTATTCCCAACAGTATCTTGTATGTTTTTATCATGTCTCCCCTGACCCTTCTGTCCTCCAGTGTCGTCAGTCCGATTTCCCTCGACCTTTCCTCATACGACATTCCCCTGAGCTCTGGGACTAGCCTTGTTGCAAACCTTTGTACTTTCTCTAACTTCTTGACGTGCTTGACCAGGTGTGGGTTCCAGACTGGTGTTGCATACTCCAGTATGGGCCTAACGTACACAGTGTACAGTGTCTTGAACGATTCCTTATTAAGGTATCGGAACGCTGTTCTCAGGTTTGCCAGGCGCCCGTATGCTGCAGCAGTTATTTGGTTGATGTGTGCCTCCGGTTACGTGCTCGGTGTTATGGTCACCCCAAGGTCTTTCTCCCTGAGTGAGGTCTGTAGTGTTTGTGTGTATCTGTCTGTCTGTGTGTCTGTCTGTCTACTTGTTTATTTGTGGTTGCAGGGTTTGATTCACAGCTCCTGGACCTGAGTGAGTGTGTGTGTGTATACTCACCTAGTTTAGGTTACAGGGGTCGAGTCCTAGCTCGTGGCCCCGTGTGTGTGTGTGTGTGTGTGTCTGTCTGTGTGTCTGTGTCAGTATGTGTCAGTGATTGTCTGTGTACTCACCTATTTGTGGTTGCAGGGTTTGAGTCACAGCTCTTGGACCTAAGTGTGTGTGTCTATCTGTTTCATTGGGGAAGTGGAGAAAAATCCTTCCTCCATAAGCCATGGATGTTGTAAGAGGCAACTAAAATGCCAGGAGCAAGGAGCTAGTAACCTCTTCTCCTGTATAAATTACTAAACGTAAAAATTTTTTCATTTTACGTCACCCTGCCTTTGTGAGATACAGCCAGCTCATTGAAAAAAATATATGCACATACATACCAGTGTATATAATTTATTTATTTAAACATTATCAGGCACCACACAATATATTGTAACATTTTTATATCGTAGCTGGTGTATGAAGTTTGAACTGTTCTAGCTAGTATCCCAGCCAAGTGGAAAAATTTAAAATCTTGGTTTCGATGACCTTGTGAATATCAAACCTCTTGGTTCTTAAATGTCCTCATGAATATTACTAAATTTTGTCTGCATAGTAAAGTATTTTGGATTCATTCTTATTTTGTGCTGAGACCAGTTATTTTTTTTTTAACCATTTTTCTGATCTGTTTAATATTGACGTTTATGTGAAAGACTATCCAGAAAGTTTGTACAATGGTGTTCTGTTGTAGTGTACACATCAGTGTTCTGTTATAGTGTACACATCAGTGTTCTGTTATAGTGTACACATTGGTATTCTGTTAGTGTACACATTGGTATGTTAGTGTACACATGTTCTGTTAGTGTACATGTGTTCTGTTAGTATACACATCAGTGTTCTGTTATAGTGTACATGTCTGTTCTCTTATAGTGTACTTATCGGTGTGCTGTAATAGTGTACACATCAGTGTTCTGTTATAGTGTTCACATTAGTGTTCTGTTATAGTGTGTACCTAAGTGTTTCATAAGTGTTCTGTTACAGGTATACATAACTGTCCTGCTATATAACTACATAATTGTTCTATTGTGCATCACATATGTAAGTTCTGTAATACAGTGCATTCATTTTCTATGTTCTTTATACTTCACTTCCCTCATTAACCCCCCCTTCACCATCCTGTATATTTCTCCCTTGACCCTTCTTTTATCCTTTGTCCTTATTTCATCCTTGCCTTCTCTCTGTTGCACTTTTCTTGTCTTCTTATGTTGCCCTTGTCTTCTCCTTATTTCATGCTTACTGTTACTGCTTTCTCTTTGTCACCCTTGTTTTCTTTGTCCTAGTTGACTCTGCTCTTCCCTGTTTTGCCATTCCTTCCCTGTTCTACCCTGTCCTCTCTTTTTTCGGTGCTACTTTAGCGTGCAGTCTACCAGCTCATTTACACTTTAGCATGCCGTCTACCAGCACTTTTACACAAATCTGCTGCATCTTTTCTCAGTTAGGTTAGGTAAAAAAGATGGCAATAGCCCATGGCATTTAGATTGGCATATGCAGTATTCATAGACTACGAATACTGCGGTAGACCGCACACTAAATTAGCACCCTTTTTTCTCTCTCCCCTCTTTATTTCAATCTTCTGTTTCACTCTTCCATCCTCTTATGTCTAATTCTCCCATATATATATTATTTCATTCCATTGCATTTCTCACGTCACTTTCAATAAGTGTTTAGTGTAAATCATTTAGTTTTCCCTGTCTTAAGTTTATTAATTACCTGGTTGTACTTGTCCACAGCCTCAGCCATTGGGCGATGTGACATCCAGCCTCAATGTGGAGAGGGAGCGGTCAGTGACCCCAGACAACCCTGTACCCGAGACATGGAATAAGTAGGTTCACTCGAGAGACCAAAACATCATCTCATTTCATCCCGTTTGTGGTTTATTTGTGAATTGTTCCTGTATTATAAGGGTTCGTGATAAAGAAATTGGGGCTGATTATCTTGCAGTCCCCAGGTCCTGCATGACCCCTGTGGGTTAATAATATAATAATCAGCTACAAAAGTGTGACTTATTTTTATTAATTTTAGCAATTTGTGAAAATCATAATAAAATGAAAGGGTTGTTTTTAATATACAGATGCTCCTCACTTTACTATGGTTTGACTTATGATATTTCAACTGCGGTGGTGCAATAGCGATGCATATTCAGTAGCTGTCAAACTTTAAATTTTAATCTTGTATTCATTTATTTACTTTTTAATACTGGTATTTAGTTAGTCACAGTAATTATTTGTTTATTTACTTATTCAGTGACAGTAGTTATTTATTTACTTATGTACAGCTTCTGTTCCTAAGACCGTGTTGGTAAACGAATTTGTCGCTAAGTGAGGAACATACTATAATAGTAGTGGGTTTGTGTCAACCATATTTGATATTGTTTTAATGTCACCATTGTGCCATTTAAAACATTTCTGATATATTTTTAAATGTTTATACAGTAGTGTACTGTGCATATATTGCAATAAACATAATAGAGGCAATCAGGTATGTATACTGGTCAGAGAGCCCATCGTAAGTTTGAGTCGTTGGTAAACGAGTGCGTTGCTAAGTGAGGAGAGGCTGTATTTACATACAGTAGACTGTCATTTAGCATGAGTTTATTTGGCATGATTGAAGAATTGTGCCAATTTTATGTAACACGTCGTAAGTTGAATTTAACACGGTTCAGTTTGCGGGAAGAAAAAAAAAACTTCCCTTTTCCTCAAGCGGCCGCCTTGTTGTAGATCAGCAGGGGAGACCTCCCCCCCCCCCACCCAACACCACCCCAGCATTTGTACTTCATACGTGTCCAGTCCAACATCTCTGCTACAAGCTTGTGATTGTGAATTGTGTTTTGATCTTAGACAAGGATGTGTGATGTCACCGTGGTTGTTTAATATATTTATAGATGGGGTTGTAAGAGAAGTAAATGCGAGGGTCTTGGCAAGAGGCGTGGAGTTAAAAGATAAAGAATCACACACAAAGTGGGAGTTGTCACAGCTGCTCTTTGCTGATGACACTGTGCTCTTGGGAGATTCTGAAGAGAAGTTGCAGAGATTGGTGGATGAATTTGGTAGGGTGTGCAAAAGAAGAAAATTAAAGGTGAATACAGGAAAGAGTAAGGTTATGAGGATAACAAAAGATTAGGTGATAAAAGATTGAATATCAGATTGGAGGGGGGGAGTATGGAGGAGGTGAACGTATTCAGATATTTGGGAGTGGACGTGTCAGCGGATGGGTCTATGGAAGATGAGGTGAATCATAGAATTTGATGAGGGAAAAGAAGTGAGTGGTGCACTTAGGAGTCTGTGGAGACAAAGAACTTTGTCCTTGGGGGCCCAAAGAGGGGAAATGTATTGAGAGTAGTTTTAACCAAGCTCTTATATGGGTGTGAAGCGTGGGTGATGAATGTTGCAGCGAGGGAAGGCTGGAGGCAGTGGAGATGTCATGTCTGAGGGCAATGTGTGGTGTGAATATAATGCAGGAAGTTCGTAGTTTGGAAGTTAGGAGGAGGTGCGGGATTACCAAACTGTTGTCCAGAGGGCTGAGGAAGGGTTGTTGAGGTGGTTCGGACATGTAGAGAGAATGGAGCGAAACAGAATGACTTCAAGAGTGTATCAGGTCTGTAGTGGAAGGGAAAGGCGGGGTAGGGGTCGGCCTAGGAAGGGTTGGAGGGAGGGGGTAAAGGAGGTTTTGTGTGCGAGGGGCTTGGATTTCCCAACAGGCATGCGGGGAGCGTGTTTGATAGGGTGAATGGAGACAAATGGTTTTTTAATTTACTTAAACGTGCTGTTGGAGTGTGAGCAAAGTAACATTTATGAAGGGATTCAGGGAAACCGGCAGGCCGGACTTGAGTCCTGGAGATGGGAAGTACAGTGCCTGCACTCTGAAGGAGGGGTGTTAATGTTGCAGTTTAAAAACTGTAGTGTAAAGCACCCTTCTGGCAAGACAGTGACGGAGTGAATGATGGTGAAAGTTTTTCTTTTTCGGGCCACCCTGCCTTGGTGGGAATCGGCCGGTGTGATAATAAAAAAAAATAAATAAATCTTGTATCTGCTAAGCAATCATGACACCCAGTAGGTATATCCAGTGTTCCTCAAAGTGCCAAGAAAAGGTGTAATCATTTAAGTTTTAGAATTAACGAAGGAAACAAAGATATTAGACAAAACATAACCTGTGGCCATAATGAAGTGTTACTTTGTACACATAAAAAGAGGGTGAACATAAGCTTGTGTGACTGACTGACTTACTGAATGACTTGACTGACTTATTGAATGACTTGACTGATTTACTGAATGACTTGACTGACTTACTGAATGACATGACTGACTTATTGAACGACTTAACTGATTTACTGAATTGACTGACTTACTGAATGACTTGACTGACTTACTGAACTTGACTGACTTACTAAACAACTTGACTGACTTACTGAATCACTTGACTGACATACTGAATCACTTGACTGACTAAATGACATAAAGTTAGTCACTCCAGTACAACCATCAACTCAGTACCAGAACCTCTACCATCCACCTCAGACCAGTAGGGCCACAGCATAACTCTCCACTCTTTACAATCATCCACAAACACCAGCACCCACAATTTAACGTAAGAAATATTATTATTTCTGTTACATTTGTAGTCTTAAGCAGTAAAAAAACATAATACATCACAGCAGTGAACTACAATTACATATTCACATTTATTTTTGTAAGATGTGGAAGCCTAAGAAAAGTTTTGCTTTTTAGGGGCACTATGGAACATAACCCTATTTTCACATAAGTTCTTCAGTTCATCTTGCACTGTTTTTTACCTAACGCGGCATTTTCAGGAACGTAACTACTGTGTTAAATGACAGTCTGCTGTATCTTATTGAAATTCGACTTACGAGATTTTCACGTTATAATGGGTTCATCGGAACGTAACCTCATCATAAATATATAAATGCCCACGAACGCTCAACTTGGCGAGATGAGCCTGGTGCATGGCTGGGCTCTGAGAGTAGCAAGATTCTCAAAACTCATCAAAGGTATATCAAAGATAACAAGCAAAATTTAAATGCTTTCAGGTTTCGAGGTCTGACATGCATCCCAACACCACAGTCCACCAGGAAACTGCCATTGCCAAAGTTAAGTTGGGCCGATCAAGGTGAGGTATGGGCGCTCATGTGCCGGAAAGATCGCCTCTATCCTCGATGTCCAGATTACCTCAGTCAACATCCCTCGTTACAAGCACGGATGAGGGCCATTCTTTTAGACTGGTTGACAGAGGTACATTTTCCATTACTGTTTAATTGTGTACAGCATTGAAATAATTTTTGTAGTGAAATAATAGTTGTTATTGCTGGGTATGATGGATTCTTTATTAGTAGGTTACCAGGTATATAGTAAACCCTCGGTTTAATGGAATATTAGGGATTGTCTGAGTGTCTGTTAAATCGGAATGATGTTTAAAATTAGAAAAAGAAGCACAGTAGTACTTTATACGTACTCGGTATAGTGCAGTGTACACATTCTACAGATTTTTTTTTTTAAACATGTCAGCTGTCTCCCACTGAGGCAGGGTATCACAGAAAGAAAGAAAAAACTTTCATCATTATTCAACAGCGATGGTTATGCAGACTGATGACAGATGATGATGGTTATGCAGACAGTGATGATGGCTACACAGACAGTGATGACAGATGGTGATGGCTACACAGACAATGATGACAAATGACGATGGCTACACAGACGATGACAAACGATGATGGCTGCACAGACAGTGATGACAGACGGCGATGGCTACACAGACAATGATGACAGATATCAATGGCTACACAGACGATGACAGACGGCGATGGCTACACAGACAGTGATGGCTACACAGACAATGATGACAGATGGCAATGGCTACACATACAATAATGACAGATGATGACAGACATTACCTTATGTAGGGGTGAAAATTTTGTGTCATTGGGGCACCTCTAAATGAACTCCAGTCATCACAAAAGTTACAATTATTTTTATCCTGGCGGTTACTCAACGGAGAGGCAAGATAAACTTTCAACCCCTAATCAGTTAACTACCCTATAAATAATAGAATCCTGTTTTTAGACTATACAAGGTGTTGCATAGCACAGAAGAATGGAGAAAAACTTAGGCATGGGGGAGATCAGAGCAGTGAAGCTTGAGTTACCATACTATGCATTACCACTAATGAGACATTAAGGAATTGATTCATTCACTAACCAGGATTTTGGCCTATTCTTTTCTGCCATGCAGTGCTGCCTAAAATAAAATGCATGTGTGGCATTGGCAGTAATTTGTAAGGGTAGAATTTACATCTGAACTGTGTTGGGAAAAAACCTTGAACATAATACGTGTGAAAATAACTCGGTATATAATGTTTTTACAATGTTTTATTATAGCACAGTGTATTGTAGCACTGAGATCATACAAGTCTAAAAATCAGCTCAAGTACCAGCCTTAAGATTTTTCCTTACTTTTTAAAGACAATTTATATTTGAAATTTTCTTGCTTGGTAAAGAAGTCGTGCAACAGTGGTAAAATATGAAGGAAAACACTTGCATGGGTAGATGTAATTACCAGTTGATGTGGTTGACTCCTTGTGGTGGATGACTATTGAAGGACAGTGAAGTTTTGAAAACCTGTTTTGGGTTTAATGAAAAATGGATTTATTTGAGGAATAAAGTCAAATTTAGATATTATTCTTGCATGATGAATTATATGAGCATCAAGAGTAAAAATGTGATTTAGTACTGTGCAAGTATTTTAATTTAGTATATTCATTTGAAGTTTAATATATGGAGGCTGAAGTTGATAGGGTTACACAAGTGAGGTGAGTCAGCTTTTTAATGTCCTAACTTGTCTTTCATAGAATATTCATGTATTGTGATATTTGCAACAGGTGTGTGAAGTATATAGGCTACACCGTGAAACATATTACCTAGCCACTGACTTCATCGATCGCTACTTAAGTGCCTCGAGAGATGTTCCCAAACAACAACTGCAACTTATAGGTTAGTTTGGTCTGCTCTTCTCCCTTTAATAATGTAGATAAATGCTTCAGAGAACCAACAGGTTTAGACACATGTGCAACACTTGGTTATTTTTATTGTGGAAACGTTTCTCCAAACAGTGGCTTCATCAGTCTAGGACAAAGAAGAATAGTGACGATCAGGAGGAGTTTGAGGTAATCAGTCCTTGAGCCTGGAGATGATGTAATGGACTCCAGGCTGAGGGACTGAGTGCCTCAGTCTCCTTCTGATCTTCGCTATTCATCTTTACATTGGACTGATGAAGCCACTGTGTGGCACAATGTTTCCACGATGGATATCCAAGTGTTGCACATGTCGAATTTATCTGTTTAATAATACTCCAGTCTTGTTTCTTACTCAGTATTTACTAAACTTTAAATTTTTAGAATAATTTTAGCTAATTGAATATTTCTTTAGCACATTAGTAATGTATTACAATTGTTCTGTTTCACAAGCCAACTATTTTTTTTTTTAATTTAGAGCTAAATATATTTTATTCTCATTTATGCTGCTTGGAAACACCAGGGTGAGAAGAGTCAGTATTGTCACTGGCCTCAGCGTTTGTTGATTATTTTAACCACACGGTTGTCTCATACCAAGGTAGGACAACCCAAAGAAGGAAAGTGATTCACTATCACTCAGTCAGTAGTCATCTTGCCAGAAGTGCTCCAATATTTCATTTCAAATGATTTTCTGAACTAGCCATGTATATTTACTGTGATATCCATTTCCTGCTGAGCTGCAAGCTTTGTTAGGTACTTGTGTTGTAAGCATATTTCAGATAATTGAAGGGATTCTATAATTGGATTGATTCTGAAAAAAGTTGTTTTTATACATGCATGTACTTGGAGTATACCCGGAGGGTATTCCGAGGGTCGATGACCCTGCGGCCCGGTCCATAACGAGACCTCGTGGTGGATCAGGGCCTGATTAACCAGGCTGTTACTGCTGGCCACACGCAGACCAACATAAGAGCCACATGTTCAGAGTCGGAATTTAATTGAAGCATTAACTGCTCAACTTTCTATTGCATAATTCAATGCTTCAGAGCAGTTTGAAGCATTTTCTGACATGCTTCATTTTTAGCTTAAATATATAAATTATCACACTTAATCACAAATGATGCTAGAATTATATTTTACTGGAGAAAACTAAGCCAGATCATATTTTTTTTTATTTCAAATATTAAACTTCAACTTTTTTTTTTTTTAACAATGATTTTATAGTCTTAGAGGTGACAGTGTGCTTAACCCATAATATTTTCAAATAATATAAATTGGTGTGAGATCATTGATGAGGGAAAAAGAGTGAGTGGTGCACTTAGGAGTCTGTGGAGACAAAGAACTTTGTCCTTGGAGGCAAAGAGGGGAATGTATGAGAGTATAGTTTTACCAACGCTCTTATATGGGTGTGAAGCGTGGGTGATGAATGTTGCAGCGAGGAGAAGGCTGGAGGCAGTGGAGATGTCATGTCTGAGGGCAATGTGTGGTGTGAATATAATGCAGAGAATTCGTAGTTTGGAAGTTAGGAGGAGGTGCGGGATTACCAAAACTGTTGTCCAGAGGGCTGAGGAAGGGTTGTTGAGGTGGTTCGGACATGTAGAGAGAATGGAGCGAAACAGAATGACTTCAAGAGTGTATCAGTCTGTAGTGGAAGGAAGGCGGGGTAGGGGTCGCCTAGGAGGGTGGAGGGAGGGGGTTAAAGGAGGTTTTGTGTGCGAGGGGCTTGGACTTCCAGCAGGCATGCGTGAGCGTGTTTGATAGGAGTGAATGGAGACAAATGGTTTTTAATACTTGACGTGCTGTTGGAGTGTGAGCAAAGTAACATTTATGAAGGGATTCAGGGAAACCGGCAGGCCGGACTTGAGTCCTGGAGATGGGAAGTACAGTGCCTGCACTCTGAAGGAGGGGTGTTAATGTTGCAGTTTAAAAACTGTAGTGTAAAGCACCCTTCTGGCAAGACAGTGATGGAGTGAATGATGGTGAAAGTTTTTCTTTTTCGGGCCACCCTGCCTTGGTGGGAATCGGCCGGTGTGATAATAAAAAATAATAAAAATTTTGTATCATTGAGTGACTTGATAAGTGCTGTATGAGATTGTATTAGTTTTTTAGTAAGAGAGACCAGTTTTTTCCTGTCTGGCAGACTTCATGGTATATCAAGTTGTGTGAGTTAGACACTTGCAGTGAAAGCTAGAGAAGGTAAGAGAATGTATGAGATGGAGAATGAATAAATAAGAGAATGAATGAATAAGAGAAAGTGAGTAAATAAGAGAATGAATGAATAAGAGAAAGTTAATACTATAAGAGAGAATGAATGAATAAGAGAAAGTGAATAAATAGAAGAGAATGAATGAATAATAGAAAGTGAATGAATAAGAAAAAATGAAAGAATAAGATAAACTGAATAAATAAGAGAGAATGTATGAATGAATAAGAGAGAGAATGAATGAATGAACAAGAGAGAATGTATGAATGAATAAGAGAGAATGAATGAATAAGAGAGAATGTATGAATGAGAGAGTGAGAATTAGTAAGTACATATGTGGCCTTTATGAATCCTGAGAAAGTGTACATTAGTTCACATAGGAAGTATAAAGAGCATTAAGTGTTATGTAATGCAAGAGGAATTTTTTGAAAATGATTTCTGGTCAATATATGTCAGTCAAACACTTGGGAAAAGAAATTGTCACATGTATACAAAGTTAACTTATTAAGTATCCTTTCAGAGACTGATATCTATATAGTTCGTGGAGTTATTGTTTTTGCTTTTGCTTTAGCAGTGTTTAGTTTCTGCAGCATGAGTTAAGACTGCATCTTTGGATTGCCCTCAGAGTTCCAGTTTGTGTGCACCTTAGTAAAAAAACAAATGTTATCTGGTGGCCTGGTGGTTAACGCTCTCGCTTCACACGGTGAGGGCCTGGGTTCGATTCCCAGCCAGAGTAGAAACATTGGACGTGTTTCTTTCCACCTGTTGTCTATGTTCCCCATCAGTAAAATGGGTACCTGGGTGTTAGTCGACTGGTGTGGGTCGCATCCTGGGACACTGACCTAAGGAGGCCTGGTCACAGACCGGGCCGCGGGGGCGTTGACCCCCGGAACTCTCTCCAGGTATCTCTCTATATAGAAATAAGTCAAAGACCCCAATGGAAATATTTCACTTTGTCTGACTTTTCTTTGAGTTATTCTAGATAATCTACATATATGCTGCTATGTATGATAATTTATGTAACTATATTTGTGTATCTGTACCTGAATAAACTTTCTATTTTGCTGTTGTGGCTTTGAATTTTCAGGTCAGGTGTGTGTTCCTTAAGGGGTGCAGATGTGATGAAGTAGGGAAATGGGTTTTATATAAAATTATGGGAATGATACATGACTTAAACTTGTGAGAAAGTTTGGGCATTGGAGTGAGTTGTAGGAGGTATGATAAGAGACATGGATGGAGGTGGTTGTTGAAGTTGTAGCAGGTATAACAGACATGGATGGGGGTGGTGGTTGAAGTTGTAGGGGGTATGATAAGACATGGATGGGGTGGTTGTTGAAGTTGTAGGGGGTATGATAAGACATGGATGGGGGTGGTTTTTGAAGTTGTAGGGGGTATGATAAGACATGGATGGGGGTGGTTGTTGAAGTTGTAGGGGGTATGATAAGACATGGATGGGGGTGGTTGTTGAAGTTGTAGGGGGTATGATAAGACATGGATGGGGGTGGTTGTTGAAGTTGTAGGGGGTATGATAAGACATGGATGGGGTAGTGGTTGAAGTTGTAGGGGGTATGATTAAGACATGGATGGGGGGTGGTTGTTGAAGTTGTAGGGGTATGATAAGACATGGATGGGGTGGTTGTTGAAGTTGTAGGGGGTATGATAAGACATGGATGGGGTGGTTGTTGAAGTTGTAGGGGGTATGATAAGACATGATTGGGGTGGTTGTTGAAGTTGTAGGGGGTATGATAAGACATGGATGGGGTGGTTGTTGAGTTGTAGGGGGTATGATAAGACATGGATGGGGTGGTTGTTGAAGTTGTAGGGGGTATGATAAGACATGGATGGGGGGGTTGTTGAAGTTGTAGGGGGTATGATAAGACATGGATGGGGTGGTTGTTGAAGTTGTAGGGGGTATGATAAGACATGGATGGGGTGGTTGTTGAAGTTGTAGGGGGTATGATAAAGACATGGATGGGGGTGGTTGTTGAAGTTGTAGGGGGTATGATAAGACATGGATGGGGGTTGTTTGAAGTTGTAGGGGGTATGATAAGACATGGATGGGGTGGTTGTTGAAGTTGTAGGGGGTATGATAAGACATGGATGGGGGTGGTTGTTGAAGTTGTAGGGGGTATGATAAGACATGGATGGGGTGGTTGTTGAAGTTGTAGGGGGTATGATAAGACATGGATGGGGTGGTTGTTGAAGTTGTAGGGGGTATGATAAGACATGGATGGGGTGGTTGTTGAAGTTGTAGGGGGTATGATAAGACATGGATGGGGGTGGTTGTTGAAGTTGTAGGGGGTATGATAAGACATGGATGGGGGTGGTTGTTGAAGTTGTAGGGGGTATGATAAGACATGGATGGGGGTGGTTGTTGAAGTTGTAGGGGGTATGATAAGACATGGATGGGGTGGTTGTTGAAGTTGTAGGGGTATGATAAGACATGGATGGGGGTGGTTGTTGAAGTTGTAGGGGGTATGATAAGACATGGATGGGGGGTGGTTGTTGAAGTTGTAGGGGGTATGATAAGACATGGATGGGGTGGTTGTTGAAGTTGTAGGGGGTATGATAAGACATGGAGGGGGTGGTGGTTGAAGTTGTAGGGGGTATGATAAGACATGGATGGGGTGGTTGTTGAAGTTGTAGGGGGTATGATAAGACATGGATGGGGGTGGTTTTTTGAAGTTGTAGGGGGTATGATAAGACATGGATGGGGGTGGTTGTTGAAGTTGTAGGGGGTATGATAAGACATGGATGGGGGTGGTGGTTGAAGTTGT